ATGTTCTTATTATGATCTTGTAGCTTTACCTTTGCTCTCTTTGGTATGGTTCATATGACATAATAAAATGTATTTACAACTAATATCATAAATGTATTTATTATTGTTTCACAATAGTGAAGGTGAATATGTTATCTATGCATTTGGAAATCTCAACTCTTGCACAGTTTTGCGAAAGAAGCATTTACGTTCTAAAAAAAAGGCTTCCTTTAGTAAAGTAAAAAGCGGACAATTATGACCTTATGATTCATGAAAGCCTTCTTATATTCAAACTTAAACCCCCTCTTAACACCCAAGGCAACTCAATCCCCTTCACCTTCTTTAATATACCGTCCTTCTCATTTCATTCCTTCATCTAAACTTCCTACTCCCTCACATGTAACTTAACACCCTGTAATATATGCTTGTATTTAAAACCTCCTGTATATAATTTATCTCAAATAATCTGAAGATGTCTTAAGTTAAAGAAGAAACGTAATTATTAAAAAACCTTTAATCTTTCTTTATTTTACTATCGTGATGGCTTTTTTAAATGTCTTATGTTGGGCTATTATGTTCATATTGAAAAAGTAAAAAGCATTGTCGTTAAATAATACAAATAAAAGTTATACGTATAAGAAAATTTTTGCAGTAAAAGCAAAAGCAGGGCGCAAACTCAGTAAATTTATGAATATTTTGCACAAACCTTGCAAGATCAAGCACAGAATGTATTGCTTCAACTTTTTCTTCGTTTAGTTCAGTTTTTTTCACGTTAACATTTCCAGGTTAAATGCATATAAACAAATTACTCCCCAAACATTGTAGTCATAAGACAATACAGCAATGTTCTTCTTCCTAATTTTCCGCTCTGTTTTGACTCCAATTCAGCGACTGCCAAAAGCAAGCTGGATACAATCAAAGGAAGAACCAAAAATCTTAAAGCTCTCACCCAAATCTCACCAAGAAACGACACGTACATTGCATATTCCTTCGGTGTTGGATCTATGGACGTCTGAACATTGCCATGTAATAAAGCACCAAGTAAAAATCCACAAAGTACGCCGAATAAAATGAAAAATAATATCATATGTTGTTTTGCATGTTTTCATCCATTGTAGCAACGCTTTCGTGAAGTCATTGTTGAAATTTTGCAGCTCTGAATACAATTCAAAGCAAATTCTCTCAACTCCCAATTTCACAATTCACAATAACAAAGACTATAAACATACCGCGCCATTGACTATATATAATTATTTAATAACCAGAAGAATTTGAGCAATTTCATTGGTTGAGAGCTATGATCTATAAGAGGACAAACGCACACAATGACGTCACAGAAACTTTCATGTTTATAAAAGCAAGCAAACGACGGATATATTTGAAAATTTATCGCAATACCTCCCTGAATGCGAAAATAAAGTTATTCACAAAGACCTAGTTGAGGCAGTTAACGTATTTGAGCATAAAGAAAAGAAAAACCCGGTTTTCAAACATTAATTTCTACTTCGTCTTCGATAACAAAATTTTAACAAAATTGATCATCAGCCATTGCTTGTTTATTTTGTTAGCCAATCACATTTTATCACGTGATCAAGCTAGCCAATAGCATTTCTTAAATCCTATAGACACGTAAGCGTGATAATTGCAAAATCAAGACTTTTCAATGTTCCAAGTGTTGGGGGACAAAGAAAACAGTTTGGCCGTTTAATTTTAGCGATGTTGAATGTTTTACTGCTATTCATCAATGCATTATAATACTACCTGATGAGATGATTGTTTAAAATCGTAATTCATACTGTTATTCAAAAAATAAAACTTCCTATTGACCACCTGCTTTTGGGGTGCGTGTTAACCGTACAAAATGAATACTACAAGAATAAAAAACAAAACATTTTGCATTTTTTAACGAATCTATGTGCTCTCGGCAATAAAAAATACATAATCAGTGTGGGTGGTTTGCTAAAATTAAAAACTTTCACCCAGTAAAGGGCGAAACTAGAACGTTAAGTGGGTGTGTGTGTGTGAATATTCATATATTCTGCTTTTGAAATTATAATCACTAACAAATCAAATCAGTAAAGCAGAGCTGAATATATGAATATTCACCCCCCCTCCCACTTAACATTTTATCATAACTTGTTCATAAACTAGAATATATCAGGATGTTCAGGTATAAATAGTAAAAAGAAAATCATTGTCTACAATGTTCTACTGTTGCTTCTAGCTATTGGTATGCAATGAAAATTTTCTTTTGTTCACAGTTAAATTTCGTAGCAAGTGGTAGACTATAGACGAAAATAAAATATTGTCACAGTGCTAACTATGGTCATCAATTTCATGTTCTGTCCACTAATTTGCACCCATAATTATTCAAAAGTATTGAATTTTGGGAGCTTTAAGAAAAATCACTCCTAAAATTGATGATGGATGCCCTATTAACTTGGCCAATTCTTGTTTCTTTATGCAAATTTGTTCATCACCTTGAGGTAATGTGTTATTTTCAATAGAACCATTTATAGAAACAGGCCCTCTGATGTAATCACATTGTCTTAACTGTGAGAACAAATTCTTTGGTAAATTACCAATACCTGGGCTACCAGAGCGAAAATACTCAACAATCGAATTCCATTCTTCTTCCTTTTCAGCACTGGATAAATCAATTCCTTTAAACTTGCTCAGTTTTTGAGGACTCACATCAAACATGATAATAGCTGGATGTGTACTGCTCAATCCATATCGCTCTAATGAGAACTTTGCATTATTTACCATGTAGAAACCTTCTCCATCAGAGAAGTCTAATTTGTCTCGACCAAAACCCAGCTCAATTCCGATTTTCAGAATATCAAGAGCACTATTGTGATCAGTACAATGGAAATATACTTCTGTCTCAGGATTATTTTCATTTAGTTTAGCAACTATTAATTTAACATATTTAAAAGCATCTTTTTCACGTGCAACATTGACAACATTTACTGGATGACTATGTTTTCCTTTTTTGTCAAAACGTGGGATATTCAAAGTACACCATACATTTTGATTATCATTTTTGAAAGGAAAATCCGAAACTTGATCATTTAACAAGACATTATACTTAAAATGATTTTCAATGTAAGTTTCCACCCAGGATAAAATTGGTTTGTGATTTGGATCTGCCATGTTGGTTATCCATTTAGCAATAAATTCAGATCGATGCTTTGTAAAACCAATCTTGCACAAGATTTTAGCAACCTCTTCACTATCTCTGAGATTTTTTACGCTGTCTTCTTCCTTAAAATCCTTCAAGAACCTTAGCAAATTTTCCTTTTCACTCCTGTGTTTTTTCATGTGAGGACTTAGTTTGGAAAGCCTGCAAGCAAACTCATCTTTCAAACCAAGCACTGAGCACAGAACATCTTCTGGGGTGAGTTCCAAGTCAAAGAGATCATTTATCTCAGGATGGTTTAGATTGGAAATGGTACTTTCTATATTTTTCACAACTTTAGCAAGATCCACGTCATTTGCCACATCTCTAATTTCTTTCTTCAAGCCACCAAAATTGTAGTAGTAAAGATATGTTTTATCAAGAAGCTTGGTTAAATCGTTGAGGTCTACTTTTAGTTTATTTAATTGTCCTCTCTCTTCAGAAGTGAGTTTGTCATCATCAGACAATAATGCCTTTACCTCATTCAACAAGATACCACAAAAAACAAAACATTGATAACAAACAAAAATTGAATCCATGAAGTACTCAAGTTTGGGTTTGTTAATAGTTTTTTGTAAATCTAACATCAGTGACTTAGGGAGAAGACATTTCAGCTGCCATTGGAAATGCCAAATCACATTTTTCTTCAAGTTTACATCTTCAAAATCTTTTAAGGTTAGCTTTATAGTACTTATGAGATCATTCTTTGATGTGAAACGTTTAAGATTTCCAATGATTGGATATTTATTCATACTAAAAATGTAGAGTAAAGGAACACATAAAACAACAAGTTACACCTAAACATTTGACACAAATCTATGCTTAAAGTTCTTATCAAAAACTTTAATTATAAAACAATACTTTCCAACAATAAGAATGGCCGCAGAATTTTCACTGCGTCATCCCGTGAATGAGACTTTGTGCTATGAAATTATAAAACTCGCCTCTTAAAGTTTACGTATAAGAATCAAAAAGCTTAAAACACAAAGGATAAATGCTTTCACGAAAATACTACATTACATATAACTAAGGAACTTACGATAAGAAATTTTCTCTCTACGGAAATATGCCACGACAGCGAAGAGGAATATACTTAATATTTTAAACTCACGAACCTAGTTCACTAAAAAACCCTTTTGTCGCAAATTTGCACGACTTTAACATAAACTAAACGTTTAACGGCGTACAGATATAATATAAAATAGAATCAAAATATAACTGCAAGACAAAAACGTTGGTTTCGATTTTAAGTCAAACGTAACGACGAACATTGGCAAGACTGATGACATTTAAGAAATACATTTAAGCTCACTTACGTATCACGAAAACCAAGAAATTCTCCCCATACATAACATCAATACGACGCTAACACAGTACTTTCATTATTTTCTTGGTTGCTAAAGTTGAAATTTGGAACTTATCGGACTTAAAGTAACAAGTATACTTTTTTTGTGGCATTCTTGGTATTTAGGCACGCGAGGATTTGTGGGATAGATGCGTTTGTTTGGTCACCTGACTAAGGCGTTGCCAAATTGCCATTGGGTAATCAAACATGTAAATGATCATAATTTACTACCCCGGATTTAAGGTTGAAAGAAATTTAATCTTTAAAACTGAAATTTTTTTTAATTTTGTTAGGCATAAAGATTAATTTAGTTTCTACAGGTACGCAGTATCGTTGGAAAAAATACGCCATATGGAAGTTCAAATATTGTGTGGTGTTAGTACATTAGTTGAGATAGTTACGAAAAGTTAGATCATTTTTTAGTGACAGTTTTTGGTTTACATGGTAGGGTTTACGCCGTTTGATAATCAAGAAAAATTTATACAAACCTCGTTGTTCCACAAAATCAAATCTATTTTATTTTACTCCTGATTTACATTATTATACAATGTTGATGGAACATCGATTGTGATAGGCTAAGAGGCAACAGGTAATTCTCCAAATTTTGCTAATAACATAACATTGAAAATTATTTGTAGGCGACGTAATTGTTCGTGTGAAAATTGCTAAAACAAACTGGAAATGTGCAAACTTGCAGCTTGCTCTGGATTTTGCTCTGTGTTTTAGTTTTTACACGTTTGCATAATATAAAGATCATTCAGACCTCGTTAAAGGAGCTTGGTCTGAATAATTTTTCGTATCATGCTCAAAGTCATCCAATAATTGTTTCAAAATTGTTTAAATCAATATTTTTACAATTCAGCTTTTGCAATGGTAAATAATGACTATATACAAAATCAATATGTCCTACGAGTTACGTTATAAAGTGTGATACGATTGTTTTTATGGATAAGATAACTCCGTGCAATTTCAAACTGTTTATTACTGAACTCATTTCACTTTGCTGCTTTCTTGCGTCTCCTACTGCTAATTTTGTTAGAGTCAGGCTTTATAAAGACTGCACCCACCAAAAATGGGGAACCGCTCATTGTCTCAGCCATTTTGTGTTTCTTCACACAAACCTGCCGAATATCTTCCCTTTGGTCACCTGCTGAACGACCATCACTTGTTATTGGACTTTTGATAAAATTGCACTTCTCTAATTCCGAAAATAGTTTGTCGCTCATGGAACCTTTACAGTCTATTTTTCCAGCCCTAAAGTATTGAGTAACTGTACTAAAGTCTTGTTTATTGCGCTTATCACATAAATACAATTCTCGGAAACCTTTCAAATTATTTGGGCATAAACAAAAAATGAGAAGGGCTGCTTCTGTTTTTATATAAGAATATTGCGTTAATGAGTATTCATAATCATTTGCCATGTAGAAACCATAATTATGCGACAAGTCACACTTTTCACGACCTTTACTTAATTCAATACCATTCTCAAGAATATTCTGAGCAGACGAATGATCAGTGCCATGGAAATATAACTCAGTATTCCCGTCTTCGTCTTTCTCCAATCTTTCAACCTCGATGATACCTCTAATTGCTTCATCTTTGTTACTTGCATTAAAAATCTTTACTTCTTGATTAGTTTGGTGCCCTGCATCATTACGACGTGAAAAATTCTGCGTAAACCAATGGTTTTGGCAGTCTTCATTGTACGGAAAAAGAGGAAAGGCGTCATTCGTAAATATAGTACACTTAAAAAATTTCTTAATGTAGGTTCCAAGTAAAACTGTCATTGATTGATCATCAAGGTGAGACAGAATAAACGAGAGTGCATTTTCTCCTTCACTTTTCATGATCTCTTTTTCAACCAACTCATTCGACATGTGAAGCCAGCTCACAATATCGTACATATCAGTTCTAGCGAAAGGACTTCGCTCAGTTCTTTTTTGGAGCGTAGTGCAGTAGACGTCTCTCATTATTGATTTTGATAAACAAGGAGCCATTCTACAGAACAAGATAGATACTCTTACAAAAATAACACAGAAAAAACGAATAACAGTAATTAGAAACCTTTCAAATATTTAAAGCGAGGAAGTCGATACGTTCACATTCACAATGGCTACATATGTAAACGTTTATTTATTTGCATTAAAATTCCTTCAAAGCTTATGAAAGCTTATTCCTTCAACGTTTCTTACCAAACGTTGTGGGAAACGTTATTTTGCGTAACTTTGCCTCATGTATTTGAAATTTTTGTTGAGATAGTTTTTCATGGAACGAATAAGTAACTTTGATCGTGAGCTTACGATAAACATTTCCACTATTGCAAAAACTTCGAAATATCAAACGGAAAATTTAAATCAAATGTAACATGCTCCAATGCACCACAGTTATGAGGAAGTGATGAACATTTGTGCTGTGTGGCTACATCATTTATAATCAAATACCAAAGAATGAATTAATTATTTTCAAAAAATTCAGAATGTATTAAAAAACAAGCTACAAAGTAATTTTTGATCCATAATAACGACTTTGAAAGTTTTAAAACGATAATTTTACACTAAATTATTTGCACTCAAGGGAACTTTATATGCCTTAGTGCGCAATAGATTTGTTACAATCAAGGCAAAAGAGCCAATACATACTTCAAAATTTATCACGCGATTCTCACTTAAGCGTAACTTAAATATTATAAAACATGTTTTGATGTTTAAAGTGTTCAAGAAATTGACGCCTCCTGGTTATAACTGGTTTAAATATTTTCATGTTCATAATAAGTACATAGATGTTAGGTCGTCAACGTTTTGATACCAGGATACGGCGCATAAAACCGTTCAAAAAAATCGATATTTGAAGCTTTTGACGACAGCCGAGCACAATTTTCTTTGTATGATGAAAACTGTCAAAATTATACCCAAATGCGTTGAACATAGTTGCAATTACAAATACATTTTTCATTGGTTTCGCTTTCATTATGGAAACGACGACGAATAGTGTTGTCTGAATTCATCAAAATTTACAAAACTCCATTCTAACGTTAACTAAGAATGTTTACTTACTTTTACAGAAGAATAACAGCTGGTATTTGACAATTTTTATATAACTACGAACTGAGGAGCTTCGATGGACGGCGTACTATCCAGAAAGAAATGACAAAAATCGCGTCTCTGTGTCGGTACCAGACCTCTGACGTAGTGTTTCCCGCTAATTCCGATAATTACCGTCGACCACGAGCCGAAGATTTCCGGTGATCCCTAGAGTACCCATCAAGTCAAATAAAAATGTTAGTTAGGATAATAAAATATAATAATGACCTCTTTCCTGAATAAGTTTAAATCATTTTAAGATTTTTACATTTGTGATCTCTATGAAGGCCCATATCTGTTAAAACTGATAATTTTATGTCAACAGACACAATAGAAAAACAGTTGTCCAATTATATGTAATACATATTAAAGAGCATTTCATATAACCAATCAAAAACCATAAAACATTTTGTATGAAACATGTTCAGCTCCTAAGTTAAACATAAAGTACTACTCGAATAAGAACATGACAAACTCTGCTTGTTTTATTTTTTTCTCTGACGCTGCTCATTAAACATACGTCAGTTGTATGATTTCACATCTTTGATACATCATACAAGTGTGCAAAATGTCCAATGGACTTAAGTGATGTCCTTCTGATAATAGTTACACAGTCAGACAAAGCAAACATTAGACAGTCATTGTGTAAATGGTGTGAACACATGCTTTGTTATTTTATTTTGTTTTGGAGACACATAACTTTTCTTCAATATGCAAAAGACATCGTTATGATATCACAATGCATAATTATCTTTAGGAAAAACTAATTTTTGTGGACAGTTAACATAAATTATTGCCAATGTCACAGGGTCCTAATATTATTGATTTCAATGCATTGTGATGGTGTCTTTGTAATTTTCAAATAAACAACTAATGATTGAATATGTCCATCTTAATGCAGCATGGGATACTTAGGGAAATGGTAACAGGATGATATGAGGATAGTAGAGGCACCAGGGGGATGTCATTTTAGTGATACAATATACTTTTCATAGAAATATAAACCAAACACTTACAGCTTGTTGTAATACAAATGTTCCTTTCTTGTTCATAATGATTTCTTCAATGGCTTTGATAGATGTTTCCAAAGCTTTCAAACCTTCTTCTTGATTCATTGTTGTTGTCATGACAACATAGGTTGGTGGTGAAATGGGATTTATCTTAAAGAAAACAGTTTACAATCAAACAGTGAAATTTTCAAAAGATTATTTATCATTGCATGGTATTTAGGCCTGGCACAGCTATTGTAAGATATAATTACATTGCTGTGCACATTTGGAACATCTATAAATAATTAAATCTTGTTTTTGTGAACATCAAAATGTCCATCCTCATTGTGTTTATGTAGCAATATTACAATTTGATGCATTTCAATGAGAATGATCTGTCATATACAGTGGTGTAAAACAAAGCTTCATGCTATTCTTGGTTCTTAAGGTTCGTTTTCCTTGACAACTCATTTATTGACAGTTGTCTTGTTGTACACAATGTTCAATAGTATATATAATCATTCTACAATTGAAATCTTGACATAAACATATTTAAAAGTTAAAATGACATGATGAATATGAGGTATAGCTCTACTGGTTAAGAACAGTTCATGTACGACGTCAGATGATGTTAATGTTGATTCATAATGGTTTTAAAAAAGCTTGGCTGACTGATAATTATGCTAATAAACACATAACCCTAGCTGTCACATGTTACAATCGTAAACAAAATCTCAGCAAACTTTTGGCATAAATATAAAGCAGTTTTAAAATTCAAAAGGAGTAAAGATCTTTTTATAAAGTCTAAACATGCTCAATGATTGCAGTACAATAGAACTTACCTAAATGAAGTCATAATATTAAACGTCGCTCGATTTTGAAATAGAAATACAAACAATTCGTTATGTTGATGATGGCACAAAATATGTACAAAGATATAACGCAGATTGTTTAATCAGTAGCATTTTTCATTGAAAACTTTTCAAGAACCTCAAACGATAATACTTTAAATACAGACGAACAAGTTTACAGTTTGAGTTTACATGACTGACTTTACCGGTTCTCGGAAACATCCGGTGGAAACTATCGGTATTCGCCGATTATTATTCGATGTCTGTCGTGAAAATGGTTTGTGACGTATTCAGTGGACGTAATCGGTTTTCCGACCCCAGGTTATCCCAATGAACTCCATAATAACATGAAACATTTCTGTTGATGAAGAACAGTCTGTTTAATATAAATGCTACTGTTTGTAGTCTTTTATACAGCATATGAGTCTGATCCAATCTTTAATTTAGCAAAGAGTTAAATTTATGGGTTGAGGAACGACAAAACTTCTGTATGTGTTTATTGATCATACAGAGGTGTGTTTGGAGGGGGCTCAGCCCCGTTTGTTCAAATTCTATGCCTTGTATTGCCAGTGAAATATATATATCAAAAAGCTTGCAGCACCTAAATATATGTCAGGAAGCCCATCAATATTTTAATATATATGAGAAAGGCAGCAACAGTTGTAATATACATTAAAAAGCCCAAATAGCTGAAATTATGGAGATATGCCTCTGTGATCTTATAAACCAAAACCTACAATTAAAATATAATTGACAAGTCTAGAAAAGAAGTAATGTTCTTCTCTGAGCTACAGAAGTAGGGTACATTCGTAGAATTCATTACCAAAAATACTCACTACTCGAAGTAGAATTCTCTACTTGAGTCAGATAATTGAACCTTATATCAAAAGCAGTTCAGCACAACAATCACCAAACGCAATCATACGTTTGACGTAAAGGCATTTTTTTCATTTTTTTCGTAATCCTCGATTCTGGCGATATGTAATGACATTTAGTAGCCGTCAACAATCAGTTATTACAAACTTATCCATAAAAAAACGCAATATTATCTCAAAATACTGTATTACTAGCAGCAATTGCTATATAAACACAAGCTCAAATTTCAAAACTAGGAACCAAAATAGCGGAAATTCATCAGGTGATCAATATTGCCCAATCAAACGGATAACAATAGATGTCCCAACTCTTAAAAATAGAGGGCTCTTAGGTAATCAAATAGATAAGTGGGCGTTTTAAAAATAGAAAATACGACATCGAAAAGTACATTTGTTTTAATTAGTTAATATTTCAATTATCATTACGTTCACAGCGGACTTGTACAAATTATAGATATTTATAGTTCATCAGGAATTGAAGGAAAATTTAAATCATACAATTCAATAAGAAGTTTCAAATATAAAAGTACGAGTAAAAATATTAAATATTCAGTCTGACTTTCTGCTCCAGGTTCCATCTTTTGATCCTCTGCAACGCTCTCTGGAACGTTTTGTGAACGGGAATTATTTTTTTTGTCTTGATGTACTTTCTCCAAGCTCTAGAGATTTTCTTCTATATCTTTATTCTCGTCCGTATTTGATTAGAGTTAGCTCTGGATTTTTTCACCGTTTTCGCTTCTTTCCTTACTTTGTATGAAATCGAATGTAAATACAGTTGACCAACTTTAAGAACTTAAATCATTCATTCTGCCACAGCTACATGACACAACAGTGCAATGCAACAGCCACGAAGACTGCCATTCCACAATGTTGAACAACAACGGAACAAGACGCAGCATGGTGTATTTAGGAAACTTTTTTCTTTTTTCTTTTTTTTCACCCATGCAAAATACCCATTATGCAACAGTCACTTCATCTGATATGCTTCATCTGCAAGGGGAAGTCCCTTAACATACCCATCATGTGAATGTAGGATAAGATATCATAAGATCTGCGGACAGAGCGTATTAAGGGAAGAAACAATGTAACTGCTTTAGAGGAAAATTACAGAAAACACTGTTACAAAAAATTCTTCAGTGTAGCCGGCCCTGGGTAAGCAAAAGTCCTACTTGGCTAAATTGACTAAGCAATTTTCTATTGTCGCGTGTAATGCCCGTTTTGTGTCGTGTTTGTGAAGAAATTATGAACATTGAACTTTGCTTTAGAAGTTAGAATACACAAGTTATGAGCCACCAGCTCAATAAAACGTGTTTTCCAGGGAATATAATAACAAGATAATCATTGTCTCCAAAGAATACGTTCTTACAAGTTAGTGTGCTATAAATATGGTTGATATTCACAGACATGGAAAGTGAACTTCGTCGCTAAAATTTAACATGGTAAAATTTTCTATAGGCAAAAATATCTCATAAGACATTTTACGTACTTTGAAGATCAGCTACATAGCATTCAGCAACCTTTTCTTTACTTAACACTTCACAGTTAAATTTCGCAGTGAGCAGTGGACAAGAGCCTAAAATGCGAAATATTATGGCACGGAAGATTAAAATCATGATTTACAATCAAACGGCCAATTTTACGTCTTGCGGTCAATGTTATAAAAATTGCCCGTCATAATTAACTTGTTTAGAGATCAACTATTTAGGAATGAAACAATCTGATGACAGCAATAATCACTTAACAATGATCTCGTTATTAAAAGGTTAAAAGCCGTGAAATAAAACAATTTGAAATGGATAAGTTCATCTGAAACATAGCCTATAGAACAATGACTTTGAAATTCAAAAATTTCAATAAACCTTCCACTCACTGTCTCAAAGAGATGAGAAATTGAGTGTGTGATGAGTAGAGTGTGGAAGGTTTATTGCAATTTTTATATTTCAATGTCATTGTTGTAAAGGCTGTGTTAGGCATATTATATAAGTAGATAGTGAGTGGACGAGTATTCTATAACATAGCATTACGATCTTGTAGCGTTTTATATCACTAAACTAAAATATCGTTTAGTTCTCAATTATTATTTATCAAGTATCATTTAGTGTCATTTAATGGTCAAAATACAAAACAAAGTATAAAGAACAAGGCATATTATATAAGTAGATAGTGAGTGGACGGGTATTCTTTAATCCAGCATTAAGATCTTGTGGCGTTTATCACTTTGGCAGTTGTGGTTCGTATGGCATAATAAAAAGTGTCAAATATGAATATAATAATGTATAAAAAGTCATAGCCACCTCTAGTACTTAAAGGGGTTGTATCACGAATTTTAGCCCCCCTTTTTTATTAGCTAAATTGAAAGACCTTATTTCAGTGATTTTAAATCTGCAATTATAATTGAAATTGGATTGGTGAAAGTGATTTTATGGACGTTCAAAGTCACGATTTTCAGCATTTTTTTTGCGAACTTTTTGATCGGTATGCTAATGAGTTGTGACGTAGATAGTTGAACACATATATCAACATGGCGTATTCTACTAGTAATCTTAATAAGAAACGCGGAGGAAAACGCTGTGTTGCTGGCGGACCTAATCAAATTAGTTGCGCCAATGATTCAAAACAGAAGGAATGTCGATGCATCTGTTTCCTAATAAAGAAACAGAGCCGCAAAGACATAGAAAATGGGTAAATTTTGTGCGTAAACATAGACCGGGTTTTGAGGCTTCCTCTACCTCGTGTCATTTGAAGATTCTTGTTTTGACCTTAATTTGAGCGTGCAAGTCAAGCTCAAAAGAAGGTTGAAGAAGGATGCTATCCCAACCATTGACGTGGCTGGGATTCCTGAACCATTACAAGACGAAATAACCGATTGAAAGCGAAGACAAGTAAGTTTACGCTTGTTTATGTTAATTTTTCTTTTGTCATATGTAAATTCGATATATGTTTTGTAGATTATTCGACATACTCTCCATAAGCCATCGCTGAAGGAAACATGTTCTCTCGATGAGGAAGTACCATCTACTAGTGATGGAGCTGAGCATGTTGAAGTATGCACTGGGGAAGCAAACGATTCGCCATTTGAAGAAGAGCTACATGCAGTTGGTGAAAATATTTGTGAATCCCAGTCTCCATGTAAATCGTGCCATCGTCTTAAGAAAAAACTTACATCTTTACAAAAGACTTTAAGCTGGTATAAAAAGACAAAAGCATCTTTGAAGAAAAAGGCCCAGAAGTTGCAAAATGAATATCGACGCGAAATCAGGGAAAATCGTAATACATCTGGAATGGAGAAGTAAGGCACCTCCTTCCCACCACCAGCCTGAGGGTTCACCTTAGGCAAGTGATAGTACCCTCTAGCCTCCCTATCTGGGCACTGATATACACACCTTTCCTGATGATTACAGTGTTAATATAACATTGAATGGTATGTATACTTGTCAGATTGAAGATGACTATCTCACTCGATTGTGCAACTAATTAATTTTCATGAATAATTTTTTTTATTGTAGTTTAATGCTCAACATGCCCTTTGTGGATGCAGTGCACTCAAGTGTGAAGACCTTATAAGATAAGTTCATGTGGCTTGCTATTTTCCATTTTTACATTTATGCTATGATTTAATTCCATATAATTTTTCTTTTTTTTTCCCAGACTGACATTGAAGAAAAGATTTTCTTTACCGTATAGTGCATCCATGTATCTCCTATTTGGTTTTCATCTAGGCATATTTCCTGACCATTCTAAACTCAGCAAAGAAGGCCAACAGTCTCTACAGTGCACAAGTTAAAGACCTTTCCATCATCGCCTCTGATGGTATGTAACCTTTTGTGTTACCACTTGGATATGCTTTCCGAATAAAGTGGTAAACACAAGCAGGTAAAGGCCGAGTATTCTCCCATCCCATAGACCCACAAAACCATCGCATCAACCATCTGTATGCCACAGCTCTCAAGTACCTGAAGTAAATAAAAAGGTTGGACTAATTATTGTTGATGAAACAATGTTGATGATAACATTGTTTCTCATACAATTTACAATCTTACATATTTAATGATTGTGATGCTTGGCGGCGATAAGCACGTCCATTCCTATCTCTCAATAGTGGCCCGACGTTTTCAAGGACAGCCTCATGAACTAAAGGCCCAAATTTGGCATGCTGTGTTATGCATGATATTTTCTCAATGCTGCCATCGAATGTCATTTTCTGCAAAGCTGGTCCTATTTCCTTACAGCATCTGTACTCTAATGCGCCTTCTAACAAATCGGTATGACAGCATTGACAATTACACCTGAAACGTGGGAGCATTGTGGTTTATAAAGTAACTTTATGTATATTACAAACAGGAGAAAACAACAACTTACCATTCACCGAGTGGAATTACGCCATCACTTCGTTGTTCTAAGGTCGCAGGAGAATTCCATCGGGATCATCTGGAGTATGCACTTCATCACCATCTCCTGCGAGCGGTTCATCGTCATATGCGAAGTCGTTTAAATGCTCGACATAACCCACGGATTCCGAGCTCGAATCAGATACGCATTCAGACATCGAATTCGAATTATCTGAGCACTGATTTGAAGCCATACTTTCCGGACAACTTGTTTTTTAATATTTTATTGAAAATACTGTCATTATTTGTTTTAACACAAGAAAAACGACAACAAAATCACCTCCTATAATATAATATTATATTGACGGAAACAGACGTGTTCAACTATCTACGTCACAAGTATCAATATGGCGTCGTAAAAAATTCGCAAAAAGTACCCGACTTTGGAGGCAAAATTAAGCAACTTATATTTATCTGTTTAAGTCCAGCGACATGTCATAGTTCTTCAAATAATCCAAATTTTCAATTAAGCTAATAAAAAAGGGGGGCTAAAATTCGTGATATAACCCCTTTAAGGAAGTTTGTCACAAATAGAAGATTAAGAATCTAGTGAGTATTGCGATAACGTGATTTCCGTATGCACTCGAAAATCTCGTACACTTGCACAGTTTTGCAACTGTAGCATTTACGTTATAGTAAATAAAGTTGCCTTCAAAAAAAGTAAAAAGCATTGTCGTTAACTGATAGAAATGTAACTTATACGTAGACGATTTTTGCAGTGAACGCAAAAGCTGGGCGCAAACTCAGTAAATTTATGAATATTTTGCACAAACCTTATAAGATCAATCACAGAATGTATTGGTTCTACTTTTGCTTCGTTCGGTTCTGGTTCTTTCACGTTAACATTTCCAGGTTAAATGCAAATAAACAAATCACTCCCCAAACATTGTAGTCATAAGATAATACAGCAATGTTCTTCTTCCTAATTTTCCGCTCTGTTTTGACTCCAATTCAGCGACTGCCAAAAGCAGGCTGGATACAATCAAAGGAAGAACAAAAAGTCTTAATGCTCTCACCCAAATCTCACCAAGAAACGAAACGTACATTGCATATTCCTTCGGTGTTGGATCTATGGACGACTGAACATTGCCATGTAATAAAGCACCAAATATCCACAAAGTACGCCGAATAAAATGAAAAATAATATCATATGTTGTTTGGCATGTTTTAATCCATTGTAGCAACGCTTTCGTGAAGTCATTATCGAAAATTTGAAGCTTTGAATACAATTCAAAGCAACAAATAAACACTGACCCTCAACTTCACAATAACAAAGATCATAAATATACCGCGCCATTGACTATATATAAATATTCAATACTTAGAGGATTAAATCACGTGTTATGCAGAAGCATATTGCTGATTTGCTTTAATATTAGAAACATTTGTGATTTGTGTAGTTGTACAAAGAGCAGACCAGTATTGTTTTGCAAATTTTTTAAGTAAGAAAACTCAGCACTCTAAAGGCATCATCAACAAGCTGTAAGTACAATGCTAACAGAATGAATACTAAAGAACAAAAATTCCAATTTTTTTAATATTTATCATGACATCATACAAAAGCCAAATCAAATTATCTAATCTACAACAAGCAGTAAATAGTTCGTTTCCAAACTTGAGTATATCTCGATGTTCAGGTATAAATAGTAAAAAAATAATCATAGTCTACAATGATCTACTGTTGGTTCAAGCTATCAGTATGCAATAAAATATTTTATATCAACTGTTCTTGGGTATAACACCAGTCGGTTATAAGATTAAAGGTTGCTGAGATTTACAACGACTCACAACTGAAATTGACGTCATCTTTACTGCCAATCTCATTTCCTTTTTGGTTCAGTTCATGAGCTTTAAGAAAGATCACTCCTAAGATTAATGATGGATGCCCAATTAGCTTGGCCAATTCTCGTTTCTTTATGCAAATTTGTTCAACACCTTGAGATAATGTGTTGTTTTCAATAGAACCATTAATAGAAACAGGCCCTCTGATGTAATCACATTGTCTTATGTGTGAGAACAAATTCTTAGTTAAATTACCAATACCATGGCTACTTGAGCGAAAATACTCAACAATCAATTTCCAATCTTCTTCTTTTTCAGTACTGGATAAATCAATTCCTTTAAACTTGCTCAGTTTTTGAGGACTCACATCAAACATGATAATAGCTGGATGTGTACTGCTCAATCCATATTGCTCTAATAAGAACTTTGCATTATTTACCATGTAGAAACCTCCTCCATCAGAGAAGTCTGATTTCTTTCGACCAAAACCCAGCACAATTCCAATTTCCAGAATATCCACAGCACTTTCGTGATCAGTACAATGGAAATATACTTCTGTCTCAGGATTATTTTCATTTAGTTCAGCAACTTTTGATCCAACATGGTGTAGGGCATCTTCTTGCGATGCAACATTGATCATATTTATAGGATGACTATGTCTTCCCTCTTCATCTAAACGTGGGATATTCACAGTAAACCATTCATTTTGATTATCATTTTTGAAAGGAAAATACGAAACTTGATCATTTAAGAAGATATCATACTTAAAATGATCTTCAATGTAAGTTTCCACCCAGGATAAAATTGGTTTGTGATTCGGATCTGCCATGTTGGTTATCCACTTAGCAATAAATTCAGATCGATGCTTTGTAAAACCAATCTTGCACAAGATTTTAGCAACCTTTTCACTATCTCTGAGATCTTTTAAGCTGTCTTCTTCCTTAAACTTCTTCAAGAACCTTAGCAAATGTACCTTTTCACTTTTGTGTTTTCTCATGTAAGGAGTTTGTTCGAGAAGCCTGCAAGCAAACTCATCTTTCAAACCAAGCACTGAGCACAGAACATCTTCTGGGGTGATTTCCAAGTCAAAGAGATCATTTATCTCAGGATGGTTTAGATTGGAAATGGCACTTTCTATACTACTCAAAGCATTATCAAGATTAAATTCATACACATACTCAATTGTAATTTCTTGCTTAAAGCCACAAAAATTGTTGTAGATCAGATTTATTTCATCAAGAAGCTTGGTTAACTTGTAGAGATCTACTTTTAGATCATTCAGTTGATTTATCTTTTCATAAGTGAGTTTGCCTTTATCAGACAATAATGTCTTTACCTTGTCCAACAAGATACAACAAAATACAAGACACTGATGAAGAACACAAAATGAGCGAATTAAGTGGCGGTCAGTTTTACCAGCACTTTCATGTCTGTCTAGGGTACGCAATTGGGAACGCCAGTCGCCAAGAACAGTCACATATTTCTCAACATCTTCATTGTTTTTAGTAGTTCGCTTTTCCTTGATTTTAAAACATTCACGTTTCCTAATGATTGGATATTTATTCATCCTAAAAGCCTGGAAGAAAAACGGATAAAGAAAACATGAAGTCACACTTAAACATATGACACAAATCGATATTTAAAGTGCTCACAAAAACCGCGTGCTCTCAAATAGACTCGTCTTTGAACGTTTACTTATAAGAATCGAAATGCTTAAAACAGAAGTGTAAAATGCCTTCATGAAAATAGTACATTATAAATGATAACTTACGTTATTCCACGCTACAGAAGTATGCCAGGGCAGCAAAGATGAAAGGACAGATTAAATATAAAACTATATCACATTTACCATTACTCAAGAAATGATTGCCTTACACTGCATTTCAGCCAATCAGGTTGTGCTGCTTCAGGCGTCATCTAGGCGTCATCAAATAAACACAATGCGGTGCGGTGATTGGTCAAGAGCTTGAATAAGTCTCACTCGACACGAGGGAAATACATTAAACAATTTATCAAATCATTCTGCATTTGTGTAGCAGTTTACAATATCTTCTCGTTGTTTTTAAATAACCAGAATTTACCATTATTGTTTGGCTTGTTTTGAAATCAACTGCTTTAATCTACTAGGAACACTTCGAAAGAAAACAGTGAACAGTTTGATGTTAAAAACACTGTTGAAACTGATTACATCAAAAATTATCATTCCATTCAAAGTTAATAATGACATAAATGAAAAATAAATATATCTTTACATACAAAAGTTCAAAGTAAGGTTACTAATAATGGCTACATTAATTGATTATCAATTAGTTACACAAGATGTAAACAAAATGTCCTTGAAAGTTTCTGTTTTTGAAACAAGATGCGTTTTCAAGTGCTTACATTTTACACTATTATACAGTGAATGCTTATTTTTACGATAATATAGTGAATGGTTCTTTCTATACTTAGGACAGTTTTAAACGCGGCATTTTACGTACGACCAAAGCATTCAAGACAAAAAAAATTTAGATAAATTTCTTTGTTCTCTTTTGTTTTAAATGCATTCGGCTCATGTAGAATGCAACGTTTGAAAAACGCACCTGAAAGTTAGCAACTAATACATTCTGATTTAAACTTCTTCTTGTGTTGACTGAACATTCAACACAAAATCATCCCACGCTTCCATCGTATATCCATGTTCTCTTATCAAATCCAACACATGAGGTAAAAAATTGAATTCCTCAATAAGAGTCTCTTGTATGGGATGACGTCTTCCACCATTTTCTATTCCTGACGTCACTTCACCGAGACAACTTTGAACATTTTGTTCACCAACGCTTACCTCATGTTCCCCATGTTCCAACCTTCTCTTGTTGTAGGATTTTTTGCAAAGGTTGCAACCCATGTCTATGCTGGTATAAATTGAAGATAAAAGTCTTTATTCAGTCGGAACTTTTCTATGCGAGAATTTAAAAGTTAATTAATAAAATTTAAAATTTGATTTTAATTTTACAGACAACCAAAGTATTTGATATACGATAGCGTAAGAAGTGTAGGAAAGAGGGATTCTGAGACTATTGGCGCGGGTAATGCCTTTAATTCGTTGCGTTTCTGCGAATTTCGTTGTGATATTTGGCAAATATCATAATAACGTAAATGCTCGCTTTTGTACCCAGAGGCTCTCCCAAGAAAATAACAAGTATACAAAATCTATTTTTATGATTTAATATTATATAACTTGATGAAAAAATGTCACACAGGCGCAGAATAAGGTTGTTATAAACTTTAAAGTTTAATATCTCTATCACAGAATAGATACGTAACAGAAGCGCCACTCAGCGAAAAATATGTCCCCCCTTGCACCCAGTTCTTAAGTGCGTATCCGTTGCGTCCGTCATTACACTAGAACTTGACGAATGTAAATTCACACACGGATAAAATTCCCTACATTCCGTATTGTGACGAAAAATTTAACCAAATGACCTGCAACATACGAACAAGGCTTCTTTTTCATCTATTTACATATTTCATTATCAGCGACTTTTCAAGATTTTTCAATTCAGAGTTTACTGTCGTTTCTAGTTCAACTATATCATTATTTGAAGCGGTTAAGCAGTTATTACGCGTTAGATAGTTTGAAAATCTGACATTTATTCATTATTTTTTTGAGCATTGTAAATTTATCCTGAAATTATAACCCAACTTTAGCTCAATGGCAAATAAACAAGAACTTTCAAACATTCTGTATGATACACCATGTACAATAATAATAAACTTAAATTATTAGTGAGATGATTTAACGATGGTGGAGCAAAACATGAAAGCTATAAACTAGTGAAATGTATTTGGACGTGGAAAATAAACAAGCTATCGTAACTCTCACACAAACCTCTTTTACTGAAGCCAAGTTAGCCACGAACGTAAAAATGTACAAATCAAGTTGAAAGTCTCGTTTGCACGCTTTGAAAATTGAAATAGGTCTGAGAACAATAAGAATCACTTGCCTCTTACTCTCTTTTGCACAATATGCAGTCTGCTGCTTTTTTGATAACGCCGGAAAAAACAATAGTTTCCCATAACCAACCAATCAAAATCCTAACAAGGGGTCGAACGCATGATGACATCAAACTTTCATTCACATCTTGACCTTGGTGAAGAAAACATCTCTCAAGTGAGACTCAAATGTACGAAACGAAATACACATGCGATACGATACATTATTGTTTTATAAAACTAGCCATATTTTCCTTTATGTTATTGTTTTCTCCATTCGTAATGTCGACATAATCATAAAGCATGTTTGTAAATGTAGATCGTCCAGGTTGGTATAGTCCCGAGAAAGACTGTTTTTGTTGTTGTTGACTGACGTTTCAATAACCTTAGTCATCTTCAGAGTCAAGTGAGGAGTAAACGTCAGATTAGCCGTATTTGTTATCTGGTTCTTACGTAATTGTATTGTGTGTACAGGAAATGTGTATTGTCATTGTGAATTAGTGTGAAGTGTAATATTTTTATTTTTAGTTGTGATGTTTTTAGTTGTAATGTGTGGGTGTCAATTGTGTATTGTCATTGTGAACAAGTGTGAAGTGTAATGTTTTTAGTTGATCG